AGGATTCCTGGCGCGAAAATCGCTAACTGGGGGACCAGGAAAGTTGGGAGGCTGAAATTTCCAGGAAATGTTCCAAGCACGAGTCAACATAGAATTATCAAATCCAGCCCCTAATTGCTCACGTTCGGCCCCTTGAAATTTTTTGGCAGGAAAATGGCTATCTCGGGAACTAGGAGAGCTAAGAGGCTGAAATTTTCAGGGGTTACTCCTTCCGCATGTTGAGCTCAAACTTATCAAACTCAGCTCCCAAGCATGCGTGGTCCTCACGTACAGCCCAGTGAAACTTTTTGGTGCGGAAATGGCTAACTCGGGGACCAGGAAAGCCCGGTGGCTGAAATTTTCAGCAAATGTTCCCAGCCCATGTGCGATTTAAATTTATGAAACTCAGCCCTCCGGGCATGCGTGGTTGTCACGTACGGCGACGTGAAAATTTTTGACAGGAAAATTGCTAACTCAAGAAGAAAATTTGGAAGGCTGAAATTCCAACGAAACATTCCCTGTTCAAATACTGCGTAGACAATTAACTTCCCGGGCTTCGAGGACCAGTATATCACACGTTTCTAACTACTGGATTTCCGAACGATCTCATTACAGCACAAAATATTGCAAAAACGTATTATCAGACAGGCCCGCCTGGTGCGCGTCGCCAATGATTTCCCCGTCTGTACACTGTTGAAACTTTTGGGATTTCGAGACTGCTGAATTCCATTGCAGCGGATGATTTTTTCGTTAGCACGGAAATTTACTGAAGCATTCGCTTGCACGAGAATTTACTAAATTTTTCCCAAAACATCGCGTTACTCTCCTCACCAGTTGGCGCCCTCTGCGGAATTAGCGTTATTACGGAGACAAGCATGGCATGTCCCTGTCATTTTCTGTAGGACTGCGTTGGAACAAGGATCTAGATGTTGTGGCTCACATGACAAGGATCTGTTTGATTTTGGTTGTTTCGGGCATTTCACTTATTGTGCTTTTTTGCATCATTATGCAAATGCAACCTTCGGCCTGGAAAGCACCAGCCTTGTCGGTGCGGTCATGCGTTCTTGCGCTAGACTTGTAACAGTCAGATCATTAAAGCATGGTTGATTTCTGCGTCGCAGTTATGTGGACATATGTCGACTGCGTTTTGGCTTTTTTTGCATACAGATAGGGATGGCAACGTTGCATTGTGGGGCGGTGTGGGCTGCTCCAGCCTACTATGTGAATATCAGTTTTATGCGGTTTTACTGTGCAACGCTGCTACGGCCAGCAAAAACGCATGTTATCGAGAGGTAACATGCGTCTGTGTGTGTGTGTTCAAAAGCGAGTGCATTTTATCACCCACTTTTATCTCAGCAACCAGGAAAGCTGAATGGCTGAAATTTCGGGTGTATTTTCCTACCTCGTGTATCATTCTCCCGTTTTAAGATCTTCCCCCAGAAGCGTCTAGACCCCGCGTACGCCCCCCCCCCTCCCAAAAAATATGCAAATTTCTTTGGCGGGAAGCGATTTCGCGAAACAGGCAAGAAGCAGAGCTGGAACTTTACAAGGATATTCTCTGTGCATGTGTGAGCTAAAGATTTCAAATTCAGCCGCCGCGTACGTTTATGCAGCGCGTACGATTACGTCGAAGTTTTGCGACTTGGTACTATGCTAACTCGAAAACTTGCCGGGAAAAGTGGCGAAGATCTTGTCGGGATATTTGTCTTCCATATAGGAAATAATATACTTAAAATGAGTATCGGTTTGCATTTGCTCCACGACTTAGGGCACTTCGAAGATATTTGTAGCGAAGTGAATATTCGCTTGCTGGATAAGCTGCGAGGCTGAAAATTCGTGGGGATATTCTATTTTCAGGCGCGGTCTTAATCCTACTTGGAGGTGGAATTCCCACCAGGTAGGCATGAGAAATACTCAACTTTACCGGAAAATCAGGAATGAGTACGTTTTGCAGCGAACGACCGCCCTCATCCAAATTTGCAAATGAACATTAGTTCATTTGCTTACTTGGATTTTTTTTACAAACACCGCTCGAACAATACTTGCATTTTTTAGTGATCTGGAAATTTGCATTTTTTCAGAAAATTTGAACCATTTTCATTTTTTCAAAAAGCTAGCATTTACTGAAGAAACGATCGAACTTCGTGCAAAAAACTGGTAATAGTGCACCTGCATGTCCATGTGGCTCTATAACGCAACACCCTCATCCCAACCGCTACATGCCGGAAGAAGCCAAAGCATGGCCAATATGAGCGCAAGTGTTTAGCTGCAGCGCAGGGATAATTCTTGCTATTAGCGACCCGCGAGTTTAGTACAGAAACGCATGGTCGCACCGGAAAGCCTGGTTCGTTCCAGCTTGGGTTTGCATGAAGCTCGGTCGTTTTTCCGGTGGGGGTCGTTCATCAAAAAATGAAGATTTGCAGAAAGTCGAAAGAGGACTGTGAAGCCCTCAGAATGCATTCACTTTTGAATTTATAATAAAATTGTGTACTTTCATGTTTGCGTAAAGTCGATGAATTTCATCTCCAAACTAAATTGGGAACACACTTGGGTGTAGAATATCTTTACAAAGTTTCAGCTTTGCAATTTGTCCGATAAGCGAAATAGCTACTTTACTAAAAATGTCTTCGAAATGACCTAAGCTGTGACGCAGGTACAAATCGAAACTCAGTTTAAGTACACATTTCCCCATGTGAACGAATAATATTCCGATGAAACCTCAGCTAATGCTTTCCGACTAGTTTTCAAGTTGACACAGTGCCATCTGTGAGCTTTGAAGTAAGTGTGCGTGCGGTACAAACTGTGCAATAGCCGAATTCGAAATTTTTAGCGCGTATGTGCACAAAGTATATTCATGCGAAGCTTCTGTCTTATATCCTCTCCGGTTTACGGACTTCCGCTCATATTTTTTCCGGGGCCCACATGCGAGATCAAGGTGCGGGCGGTAATTCTAAAGCGTGTGGAGGGCACATGTGATGGGAATATATTTCCAAAATTTCAGCTTGTCAGCTTTCCTGGTTACTGTGTTGAAGCTGGGTGACAAACTTCACCTGCTTCCGAATACACACATGAACAATCTCTCGGCAGTATGCATTTTTGCCCACTGTAGCGGCGCTATAGTTCTGGACAGCAACACATTGTCAAGTGGTATGTGCGTGCATTGTGTGTATGTATGTGCGTGCATTGTTTGTATTGTGTATATTCGAATTTTTGTCACCCACATTCAACTCAGCAATAGTAAATGTGGGTTCACAAGAATCGTCTTAGCTCACCTGAGACTTAGATGGCTTAAATCAATGTTCATGTATACCTGGGTTACATGCTGCTGGATAAAAATGTTGTTACAAAACAGACTGTTTTCGCACAGCAAATATTTGAGGACTCTGCGGCCTGCATTGGTAAAACACTAATCCTTCACTTGCCTAATACCTCAGTCTCTGCTTCTGAAATTTAGTCTCTGGATGTGGCTCTAAGAACATCTTGGCATTTTCGTCCTCATCCTTGCACGTACTCTTTGAGACGCATGTTACTGGATGGTTGTGTGATGCATGCAAAAAGCCACTGCAGCAGACAAACGTACAGTTCTGCTAGAAGGCATTGAGACGAACCAAACAAGCTATCTTTCACAAATATTCAGTTCGGTGTTTGCATTCTGCTGGATTTTTGTGCGGTTTTGCACAAATGTAAATGCACGAGTTTTGACGATCCCGGTGTGTGTATGTGTATGTGTGTATATCTGTCTATGTATTTCAGCGTGACGGCCAAAGAAGTTTCGTCGCCAGAATTTTGGATTCCCCGACCAAGCGACACCACCCCTCACACACGCTTAGACCCCGCATAAGACAAGACCAGGTGATAGTTTTGACGGGAAAACTGGTAACTCGAGAGCCCAAAAAGCTGGGAGGCTAAAGTTTTCAGGCTTTGTTCCCAGCCCACTTGCAAATTAAATATTTT